AATTCTGGGAGTTGAAGTCCACCCGTCTTAAAGTTGCCAAGGTTGAGGAACTCTGCTCTAGTACATGCTTTGCTGAGTTAATTTTGCAATCTTTTTCCTCCTTATTTGTATTCTGTGTCCTCAAGGTCATTTGTACTCAGACCAACCCAGCTGGTGAATCTGACCATCCTTACGGAACTTGAGAATGCAGAAGTACTCCATCTGGTCTAAGTCACCCTTATTGTGGTCTGGATGAGGCACTGCGCCTAGAGAAGTCTTCTTTTAGAAAAGATATTAATACTGTTCCACCCCATGTGCCATTCTTTTTGTTGGTCAGGGTGCCTTCCTCTTGTGCCAGGAGGAAAGGGGACTTCCTGTGCTCATTCATTGCTTCCCATTCCTACCTTTTTGCACACTGGTCTCTGCAAAATATGAATATACCCTGCTGAGTCAGCTGTTATCAAGCCAACTTCCCCTTTCCCTAGAAGGGAATCTTGTATTGTCTAGAAAATCTTTCAGACAAAAGGAATTAAAATGCCTTAATTGAATTACTGTGAACAGGGACTATTTATCCTGCATCTTTACATCCCTCACATAGCAGAAGAATATATGAACCAAACCATATATTATAAAAGATAACATGAAAATATATAAAGAAAAGTTAGAGAAAGAAAAAGGACAAAAGAAAAACGGAAGAAAGCAATACAGTTAAAGAAAGAAAAAAAAGATAATTAAAGAAGTGACTTCCAGTCTTCCTTGCAGTAGTTACAAATAAAGTTATTATCCCTTCTCCCTCATTCAAATTATATTACAAAGTTCCCTTCTGTCCCATATTCAACTCCTTTTTCAATCAGTAAATCCATAAATCACCATTTCCTTTTTTTCCATTTTCAGCAAAAAGTCCATAAAAGCTTTCCAGTCTTAGAGTACTTATTGTTTTATCCGTGGCCAAACAGATCAGTTTTGCCATTTATGCTAATTCTGTCATCTTTACAATCCATTCCTCCATTGTGGGTATTTCACTATTTCTCCGTCGTTGTGTATACAATAATCTTGCTGCAGTTACCATATATAAAATCAATCTTCCATAAATCTTTTCTAAATGATAATCCATAAATCCCAATAAGAAAAGTTCTGGTTTCATTTCAATATTTATCTTTAAAATTCTTTGTATTAACATATGTATTTGTATCTTTTTTTTTTTTTTTTTGCTTTTTCACAAGTCCTCCATGCATGAAAATGTCCCTTCACATTTTTCACATTTCCAACATTGACTAGAAGTACCTTTATACTTCTTAGATAATTTCTCTGGTATCACATGTCAATGGTACAATAAGCAAGGTAATTTTAAGGTGAATAATAATTTACTTGTTGGCAATGAATTTGGCTCCAATAGAAGCTTCCAAAATGAGTTTTGATTACAGATATATGGTACTGTAGCTGTAGTGTTTGCTCATGCGCACACTTTGTAGAATTAATGTATTTTGTAATTGGTTGCATGCTGAAATTCTAGCAGTTTAAAAAACAGCCCTTCAAACTAAGAATGATTTTTTAAATACTTCATAGTATTTCAGAAAGTCAGTTACGTGCCACACAAACTTTAGAAATTCTGAATTCACATCATTCAGAGGGACAGATACATGCTCTGGGTCTCTTATGTAAGTAGATTACCCCATACCTCTCATTTTCAGGTGGATAGAGAATTCCTTTGTCTTTTGAAACTAAAATAATGTTGGGAAACCTCAAAAATTATCTGACTGGAATCCTCAGGGATCATCTGGAGGAGGGGTCCAGGAATAACTGAAGCAAAAGGAAATCTGTTTCAAGCAACAATTACTTCAGGAAGGATTTTTAAAAAAGCATCCAACAAATTTATACTGCATAACATTAATTTTCATTTCTTTTCTGTGTGATGCTAAGATCTTTATTATCTCAGATGTTTATTGTATCTCTGTAAGCCCAGTTGTATGTTTGATGCCTCTTGGGATCTCTGAGCAGCAGATCCATGAATTTGTCCCAAGCTCAAAGTCTCATCTATCTTTTTCTTTTAGGAAATCCTTTTCAAATTGCTTACTGTGTTTTGAGCAGCCCTCTATTTTTATCTCCTTTCCTGCTAAATATGTGACTACCTAAACCAACAACATGAATTTTTACATTGTTTTAAATAAAGACATTTTATTTATTGTTTGTGAGATTGATCTATTTCCAAAGGGAGCGGGGGTGGCTGATTTCCTTAGTCACATACTTCACATTACAGGCCTAGGAAATGGCACTGTAGAATTTATTCCATTTTATCATCTTTTTTTCCTCTGTAGTTGCCAGTAAGGCCACTGACTGTGAGGGTCATGCTTCTCTCACATGCTGGGGTTAGGGGGGAGGACAGCAGGCAAAGGCATCCTCCAAAAGAAAGGTGGCACCAGCAGTAACTGGCAAACAGCTTCACCAAATCAGAAAGCAGGGCCATGGTGTATAAAACCCAAAGGACTTCTGAGAAATAGGAGCTCAGCCCTACCACTAAGATGATATATATTGTGCTGTAACCAAAAATCATGTTTATATATAGGGCACATTTGCACAATATGCTTCACTTAGTTTAGAGTAACCCATGGTTTTCTAGGCATACTTTCTGTTGTTTGGTATTCCAGCCACCTTTAAGATGGCTGGCCTAGTGACACTTAGTTTTTAAATGTACATGATTTGGCAAAACCATCCATAAACCTGTGGTATATTGATTTGATGTGCAGCCATTGCACATGAGATGTGAAAAGATGGAGGTACCCCCTGCTCCCATGGTATTTCTCTTAGACCCCCTGCACATTGGGGGAAGTTAAATAATAGAAGAAAGAGGTAACCATAGGTCACCTCACCTGTCCGGATTAGGGTGATAGATGACACAGTGGTTTAGGCAACAAAAGAGATGGCAAACTGTGACTCAAATTTTGACTGCTTTAGCTACAATTAACATGTGGTCTGGGCTTGCCTAACATACTGAGCCTAACAAAACTACTGTATGCTTTTGCATATTGTGCAAGTCAGGTTGTAGGCAAGTTTCTCATATTGTACTTGTTAGAATTAATATCGTTTGATTTTGGTTTAGATAAGCTGTTGTTTAGAATCATGAGTTAGCAAATTATATGGGCCCAGCCAACTGTAGTTTATTTAACTAAGTATAGTTCAGCAAACTATCACTTAGCACCAAATGTGAATCCCCCACTACCTTGAACAGATGGGTTGTAAGCATTTAGATTCACAGTTCCCAGTTTCTGTTAAATATTCTGAGTATAACAAGGAGTTGCGCATAAACTTATGCCACATATGTAGTCTACAGACTCACGTAGTCCATCTATTGGCTTTAGTGTAGTACAAGAATTCAATTGTTACTAATACACACATTTCTTATCAAAACTCTTTTTTACTTTGAATTATTTATATTTCAGTGTCTTTTTATTTCAAATATTTTAATTTTTCCCCTAAAAAGCAAATCAGTTAACACAAATAATTAGAAACAAAATACAATAAATCAATATAAAACCAAGATCAATGTATACTTTGAAAACGTTAGTCCAAAGGAATCAGTACCAATTATGAAAACTATATAAAACCCTCATAACTCATGAGAAAAGACTTATTTTCACGCTGTGGAACTCTTTGTGCCTCAGGCAATATTTATAGCGTTCCACAAATGGGATGGTCAGTACAACTTCATATGGAAAAATAGGAAACCACTTTTTCAAAATGAGAGAACTTCAGGATTTTTTAAAACTTAAAACTTTATCATTTTTCAGCAAAAACCTAGATTTTAAAGTCTTACATTAGACAGGTATTTTTGTAATGACTCATTTTGATTTAAAATAAATATTATATTCGCGATTGTTAACTATTCCATACAGTATTGACTTTAATGAAGTTCTAAACTGATACATAATATTTTAATGTGCAGCACTGTTGTTGCTTTAACATTTTTATAGTCTTGCAAAGATGGAAGGATTTACAAATATCTACAGCGGAAGAATGGATATTGAAATTAATGGAACTGGTGGAGATAGTGAAACTGACTACTTTGCTTAAAGAGAGGACATTGTCTAGCTTTGTTTCTAATTGGAAACCACTCTTGGACGTTTTGCTTGACACTCAAAAAAATGCAATTTTGATTTTGGGATTAAACCACTCTTGGACGTTTTGCTTGACACTCAAAAAAATGCAATTTTGATTTTGGGATTAAACCACTCTTGGACGTTTTGCTTGACACTCAAAAAAATGCAATTTTGATTTTGGGATTATACCTATAGAAATATCTTGTACAAATCATATGTATTGTTGAAATTAGATTGATTCTATGAATTTTTTTGAATGTTAGACTAAGAGTTATTTTCTACTATGTATTTTTAGATACTAGAGTAAGAAGTGAATATATTTTACATTTATACCTGTACCAGGGAAAGTCGGAAGCTACCTTTCTTTTTCTATGCCTTTTCTTTACTGAGCTTTACTGAGCTTTTTCTTTCTTTTTTGTTTTTTGACCTTCTTATATTTTAACCTTTGGAAATTTAATAAAATTTATTAAAAAAATTTTTTTATAGTCTTATAATGCTTGTACATTTCTATTTTGTTTTTCTTTGTTTTTCTTGATTGTGTTTTAAATATCTACTAAAATAAAAAAAATCAGAGGACTTCAGACAGAACGATACAATATGGACGTTACTAGGGTAAACTCGAACACTCCTGACTGAAAGTTCATTGAGATGCGTATTAATCAAGAGCGCTGCCTCTTGCCATCGTGCTGTGGATTTATTTTTATTCGGTTCTCTTTTTCAAAGTAGTTGGAAAGGGGTTGGGACGGTGACTACTGCGGCATTAGGCAGCTGGCGATAAGGCAACATAGACCATTTCTCTCGATCATAAATTGGATTTCACTTAAATGCTAATAAAAAGCCGAAGACTCCTTCTCGTCGAGCTCAACTCCGACTCTCAAGGACTACGCGGACACCCCAGCGTTTAATGACGCGCTCGACTTCCATTCCCACCCATCCGCTGAACTTGCCGCCTTGGCCCTTCTAGCACAATTGATCTCGGTGGCTGTCCCGAAGCTTCCCATCTCCCGTCATGCAACGGGCGACGGCGGTCACGTGTCGGAGGCGGAGGCAGAAAGTCGGGCCTTGTGTCAGTCGGGGCAGCCGCCATGCTGTTGCTTTCGCCGCTCCGTGGCCGCCTCCAGCCCAGGCCGGCTTTCCTGACGTCCCTGCTTACGCTCCTCTTGCTCGTCCTGCTGCCGGGGCCCGCGCAGCCCATCTCCTTCCACTTGCCGGGCAAGGCCCGCAAATGCCTACGGGAGGAGATTCACCGCGACAAGCTGGTCACCGGCGAGTAGGAGGTGGCTCCCCCGCCGGGCTCGTCTAGCGGGCCCCCCCCCACCCCCCCCACAGCCCCGCGCCGGGGGGGAAACAAGGAGGCGGGGGGGGGGGGG